AATAGAATAGAATAGAATAATAGAATAGAATAGAATAGAATAGAGAATAGAATAGAATAGAATAGAATAGAAATACAGAATAGAATAGAATAGAATAGAAATACAGAATAGAATAGAATAGAATAGAAATATAGAATAGAATAGAATAGAAATACAGAATAGAATAGAATAGAATAGAATAGAAAATAGAATAGAATAGAATAGAATAATAGAATAGAATAGAATAATAGAATAGAATAGAATAATAGAATAGAATAGAATAGAATAATAGAATAGAATAGAATAGAATAGAATAATAACTTTTTGTCACTTTGCCATATATTAAAATGAAATTTTGTTGCATATATCTCTCAAAGGATCACCACCTCCGATATACACGTGGCAAAAATAAATAATACAGAATTATGCATATACTAAACTCATATAATTATATGATTATTCTCATTGTGGAACAGAATGGTTTCCTGGGCATGACAAAAAGCAGAAATAGAAATAATGTCAGCTTTTTTGTTAAGCCCAGAAAACCATTTTTGTTCTATAATCACAATAAACATGTTGTGTGAATAGAGTTGCTTAGCTCGGCTGCAGTTCAGGCAAGGCTTCTTGCCATGCTAAGTTGCTGGCCCTTAGCCAGTTTGGGGCCAGCCCACCACAAATACCCCATTTTAACCGACCCTGGAGGCCAATCCGAGTCCACCAGGAAGGCTAGATTAAAATCAGACCGCTGATTTACAATCACAATTGAGCCCAAATTTTCTGTTGCTAAGTAAGGTGGTTGTTAAGTGAGCTGCGCCCCATTTTACAACATTTAGCCACCATTGTTAAGCAAATCGCAGCTGTGACCCCTGCAGTCGTTAAGCAAAGCTGGCTTCCCCCATTGACTTTGCTGGTTGGAAGCTGGCTGGGAACGTTCGCCAAAGGGGATCACGTGACCTCGGGACACGGCAACCGTCATAAATATGAGTCAGTTGCACCCAAATTTTGACGCTGTGGCCATGGGGAGGCTGTAACGTTCATAAGGGTGAAAACTCTAGTGCCGTTGTAACTTTGAACGGTCACTAAACAAGTAGTTGTAACTTGAGTACAGGTAGTCCTCAACTTACAACAATTCGTTTAGTGACCATTCAAAGTTACATCACTAAAAAAAAGTGACTTATAACTGTTTTTCACACTTACAATTCTTGCCGCATCCCCAGGTCATGTGATCAAAATTCAGATGCTTGGCAATTGACTCAACATTTATGACGGTCGCATTGTCCCGGGGTCACGCGATCCCCTTTGGCGACCTTCTGACAAGCAAAGTCAGTGGGGAAGCCGGATTCACAGCTGCAGTGATTCATTTATCAACTGTGGCAAGAAAAGTCGTAAAATGAGGCAAAGCTCAGTTCACAAATGTTTCACTTAGCAACAGAAATTCCGAGCTCCATTGTGGTCGTAAGTCAAGAACTACCGGTACCACCTGCACATTTCCCCACCTCTCTCTTTCCAGGCTGCTGGGGGTGGAGAAGGTGGTCAACTATGCCCTGACCGAGTGGCTGACAGACATTCGCAAAAACCAGCTGCCGGGCATCCTGGGCGGGGTGGGACCCATGCACTCCTTCGTGCAGTTGTGTAAGTGACCCCTCTGTCCAGCTGTTTGGTGGGGAGTGGATGGGTGGGTGGGTGGCACGGCTTTCTTCTCATACCCCTCCCTTTTCCCTCCTCCTCCCCCAAGTCCACGGCCTGCGGGACCTCTTCTGGCTGCCCATCGAGCAGTACCGCAAGGACGGGCGCATCATCCGTGGTTTGCAACGTGGCGCCGCCTCCTTCGGCACCTCCACTGCCTCGGCGGCCCTCGAACTCAGCAACCGCCTAGTGCAGGCTATTCAGGTTTCCGGGGAGGGGTCTGCCAAAGCCCAGCCCAAAATGGTGGGGTGGGGAGTGGCTGAATCTAGACCCAGAGTGGGCAACTACGGTAGCTGTACTACCTGTAGTCTTCAACTCCCAGAATTCTGAAAGTTGGAAGTCTACAAGTCATAAAAGGTCCATAGTTCCTTGGCTCGGGAATTCTGGGAGTTGAAGTCCACAGGTTATACAGTCGCCATAGTTGCCCACTCTTGACCTAGACCCACAGTCTGCCCCTTCTCAGTGGGAAGCTCAGCCCTCCCCTCCCTATAGATGGCCGAGCTTCCCCCCTCTCTCTTTTCCCCACCCAGGCCACCGCCGAGACCGTCTACGACATCCTGTCCCCCACGGCTCCCCCGTCACGCGCTCTACCAGATAGGAAGTACGCCCGCAAACTACGACGGAGCCATCAGCCGGCAGATCTACGTGAAGGGGTGGCCAAGGCCTACGACACCGTGCGCGAGGTGATGCTCCTTGGGGTGGGGAGGAGAGATTTAGCTCCATTTTGGGCTATTGGGGGTTTGACATCCTCTTTCCATTGCCCCCCCCCTTGTATTCAATTATGTTTGATTTTCGGAGACCCCCTGGACAAATCCCTGCTGGTTTTGGAGCAAGGTTTTTCAGAAATGGTTTGCCATTGTCTCAGAGACAGTGAGTGGTCACCCAGCTCAGCTGGACTAGATCTCCCAGGGTCCCGGTTTCTAGTTGGATGCCTTACCAACAATATCTGATTGGTTCTCATCGTTTTAAGCGAATCCACAACCAATAAGTCAGTCTGCAATCGTTGAGCGAG